AGGCGATGGGCAACCGGCTGCAAAAGGGCACAGGAATCTCACTTGAAGAGTTTAAAGGGCCAGACTGGGAAAGGCACAGCCATGCTCACTCGAGAGAACTATGAGGAACTTCACAATAACAAAATCAATCTGCAATTCATACAGCCTGATCCCCAAAATAAACATTTTGCACAATTTTAGAATGAGATTGCTTTCGCAAAGATGAGATTAATTGACTGTAGTTTCAATCACTTGCTACTGTATTTAAGTACAAAGGAAACACACTTCATATATCAGATCAAGACTAGAATCATATTGTCATTTACCTGAGGTTTGAGTCAACATGTTAAAATTAGCTTTTATTTTTGAACAAAGTTTTCACCACTTTACAAAAAATGTTTTAGTGTTCACTGGCAGTTAAAACCACTTTGCACAGTGAAATAATACTTGAAAAATTCATCTTTCAAAAAAAACCCAAGATTCAATTTTGCAGAATTCTGCAAGAAAAAACACAGAAATGGTTGGGAGAGTTCATGCAAGAAAGGGTTGTTGATGAAACTGTTTCACAGGATAAGAAAACAAAACAGAACAAAACCCAAGCAGCTCTTAATTACAGTACATTGCTGTGCAAGATTTGCATGGTGCAAGCACCAGCTGAAGTTGTATCTTGTTCTTGGAAACTGTTTCTGTAGCTGACAAAATGCTCCTCCTCTAGAAGCCTTGTAGTCAAGAGCAGAAGAATGCACAACAGACAGAAACGAACTAACAAAAGTGCTAGTTTGTGGAGATCCTCCCTTGCTTTCTGCAGTGCTGCTGGAGTAGCATCTTCTGTCACACAAGCGAAGCGAGTCTCCTTTGGACCTGTGCCTTTCAGAACTGCACCGGAATAAGTGCATCACCTTGTGCTCCAGAAGGCAAGGGCTGCTCTGAAATACAAGTTGGCTAAAAAAAAAAGTTCTGCTTGGCTCCAGACGTTTCCTGAGAAAATGCCATCAGTTATTAAAATTGACTCTACTTTGCTTCATAGGCTTCTGAATGTCTGCGGATCAGGCTGAACTTGCCTGTAGGGTCAGGGATATACCACTTCTCCCAGACTTCAGCGTATGAAGCTGTTCTTCCCCATGGTTTGAAATGTCCATTCCAATGGAGCAGCTTGGCAGCTTTCACAAACTGAGGAGAGTACCTTTTTCCAGCACTAGACCCTTTTATTGAAAAAGAAGCATTAGTGCCTGAAATAAAGGCAGCAGAAACACCAACATGCAACTTCAAAACAAAGGATTTTAACAAAGGAAATCTTGTCATTTATGGAGAAAGGAGATAATATGGGAGGCAGAAATCAGGGCAAAGTGAAAAACATAATCAGGTGCAACTGAACACCTCTTTGATCTGTCTCGGTATCCATTTTAATGTACTGCCTTAACTTCCAAGTTCTTTAAAACCCCTTAATACCCAGATGTATTCAGCAGCCTGTGTATTGTTCACTGGAAACAAAACCTAAGAAAGCTCTCCCAGCATTGGGGTTTCACCAGTAGCAGAACAGATATGAATGTCTGCTCCTCTCAACAATCTTGGAGGAAACACCTAGGACCACTTCAGATAAATATGTATGTGGAAAAAGAAAAGGAAAATGAGAAGTAATTTGAAAATAAGTCAATTCAAGAACTATCCCCCTAGCAGTTCAAAAAAGAACATGAAGGATCAGGCCCACAAGCCCCAAGATGGTATTGCAAAGCAGTGTTTCTTAAAGAACAAGGTATAAAATAGGGGAAGAAAAGATCCATTTGCTGCATCATCAACTAGGTGTCCAGCTACAGACCTGGAAAAACACACTGGGGGAGCAGTGTCACAAATGTTTCATACGTACCGAGATGCCGGACATTCCACATGGGATCAATACTGGAATGTTGCTTGTAAAATACAATTAGCAGTGGAGGTGTCGTGATGCTGCCAGCCAGAGTCCTACTGTAAAGTTCCTCTCTGGAAGAGAGGATGAAAAGAAGTTGGGAAAGGATGCTTGTGGGGCCCTAAATCAGTTGATTTTCACTTGCAGCTGCATGACAGGAATCCACAGACACACAGACAGCCCTTCATTTAACAGTTAAATGCCATCACCATAACCCAATCCCTGACCCACTGTCGCCCCAGCTTGGGGGTACTTACACTACATTAAGCGCCATCCACTTCTCCAATTGCTTAGTGATGTTCTGTAATTTCCATTCTGTCAAATTGGCAACAAAAACTCCTGGATTGAAAGAGCAGGTGTTGGCTTTCATGGCAAGCTTTCGGATGGTTTCTTTTTTGTAATCTAGAAACCCAATGTAATTATACTGGGAGAAAAAAAAAAAAGTAGAAATTAGCTTAAAATATGGTCAAATTACTATTTAAAGAAAAATTTTGCACAACTCCCAACAGACAAGCATAACTTGAAGTTGTTAAAGAAAATACCCCTTCCTTTAACACAAGAGAAAGAAAGCTTAAGAGATCTAACATTTTAAAGATATGATTATATAAACTACATACTTTAAGGAACGCTGCATGGTCTTAATAATACCATATTATTCATATGGTACCACTCCCAGAAAAAGTACTTTTTATATCTCCCTCTGATGTTCTAAGACCTCCTGTGGTTCCACACTGGGAATCACCCTCATTGTAAAGCACAGCAAAAATTCAAAGTGCTTTTACTGTGCCTAAACAGAAACTGCAGGTGTCATTTGTAACACAAACATCAGAGTAAATTGATTTGGGTAGGGACAGTCACACCTTTAGGTTCACTGCATTTGGAAGTCAACCTGCAAGAACATTAAAAATGAGTGCCTGTTTCCAAAGCCTGGGATCTATAGTATTGTTACCACTGAATCAGAATAAAACTAACCTGATTGCCTGCTCCACGGACAGCAACTTTGTTAGTGGTTGAGTCACAATCATCTGAAAATGCAGCTGCATGTCCAGGTTTCAATGGAGTGTTGTAAAGTTCAAGAATATCATCTGAGAAATGGAAGTAAGCACAGAACAATTAAAAGCAATCCTGATTAAGCGCTGAGTGACTTTTTGTTCAGTCCATTGCTACAGCAGATAAAACCACTCAGTTGGATTAAACTCATTCATATTTACAAAGTTTTTACATCTTTCCTTGACAGTAGAAGTTTTTGGTTACTGTAAGAGATGGCACACTAACCTCAGCATAAGGCCAGTGGCAAAAGGCTAAGAAAAGGTCCCATACCTTGCACTATTATGTCATCATCCACATAGATGGCCTTCTCCGCATGAGGTACCAAATTGGGCAAGTAGAATCTCGCAAAGGTTAACTGTGAAAACAAGAAAGCAAGGGAAGAGAAGAATTAAATGAAAAATTGTCCAAATAAACGTGAAATTGACTGATACTCCTGGCACTTATCTATGGCACTCATGTCCAAGACAACTTCTATCAAGGAAGTAAAATAGGCAGCAATATCCTAGAAGTTATTTGAAATAAACACGTTCCATCAATTCCTGACTTCCTATGAATTTGTGCATTGATAAACTAACTTTAAAACTGGTCTATATTAGAATTTCTTATTTCTCCACATGTATCTGTAGTGTCTCTGAGGTGTTGGCATGCTTGACACGCAAGCTGCTGTGTCTCACTGTAGCTAGCAGCAAAAAATTATACTAGGCATGCACAGTAGATATTCAAATCCATCTCTCACTATCTGGAAATTTATTCTTACTGAAATTTAGGAATTTGATTATAAAAGATTGCTCCTACGCCAATAGATTTGGTTTTGATCTCTAGTTGTGTTCAAAAGCCAGTATCAAAATATATCGTTACTAACTAATAATTGCAAAAAAGTAATCAACATCATCCTCACTGGTTTTAAGGTGTCTGCCTTTTGAGGATCCACTTGTACTTTCCCTTCTAAGACACGAGGGTCAAAATCCAAAATTCGGTATCTCAAATTTTTCAGAGCAGTGTTACTTAGCCACAGCCTGCAAACAGGAGAAAGGCGCAGATTTTGTTAAATGAGACAAAATCAAATGAAAAGCAAGAGCTCCAACTGACAGTGAAGCAGATCTTGATCTGGCCGCTCGCTTCCCTATCCAACAAACGTACACACAGAATGTAATCCATGGCTGATGTCAGTGGTGTCCTGTATGACTGCAGGGGCATACTGCACAGCTGTGACACATGAAAGGCATGAGGTTGCTTCTTAACTTTACTAGAAATATATGGTCCTGTTATCACAGGTCCTTCACAAAAAATATCAGTGTGAATGGATGTGGGTAAAAATAAAAGGATCAAAGAACAATCTAGAAAAATGGAGAAACTTCATTGCCAGCATTTGAATTGCTTAGATGAAATGGAGGAAGTAAGTGTTACAAGCCCTCCACCAACAAACTTCAACCCCACCGGCTGGATATAACCCCACTGGAAAAGATGGCTCTTTTCCATCCCTGAAACATTACCAGAGGAAGGACTGTAGGACTCCCCACAGCAGCCTTGTCAAAAAGCTGCAATAAGCAGCAGCAGATAGAACTGCAAACAATTTAGAGGAATGCAGTTCCAGGGAAAGTCAGCTCTTGCTCTTCCCAGAAATACTTAAGTTTTACAGTATCGTGGGAATCTAATTAAAAGATCATTACCTCAAGTGATCCACAGTATCATTCATAGTAACAATATGGAAAACCACATTGGATCTGGTGTGACGGTAAATACTGTTCATGGCTGCAATTGCACCCCCAAGCCTCTCATCTGATGCTGCAATAACCACAGAAATCTCCTTATCATTCCTTTCATCTGCCAGCCTCTGGGGAGCTGCGGGTATGAAATCTATAGGCTGAAGTCCTAATGGATTTGAATCTGTGGAGTACAAATGGCATCACATACTTGTTTTATGCAAATGAAACACAGACAGTATTACCACGGTACAATTCCTGACACCTTCAATTATTTCTGCTATGCAAGCACTTGGATGTCTCAGCTGAGGTGTGGATTACAGTGTGCCAGTATCAACCACTTAAAATATAGCGATTTGGCTAAAAAAAAAAGTTCTGCTTGGCTCCAGACGTTTCCTGAGAAAATGCCATCAGTTATTAAAATTGACTCTACTTTGCTTCATAGGCTTCTGAATGTCTGCGGATCAGGCTGAACTTGCCTGTAGGGTCAGGGATATACCACTTCTCCCAGACTTCAGCGTATGAAGCTGTTCTTCCCCATGGTTTGAAATGTCCATTCCAATGGAGCAGCTTGGCAGCTTTCACAAACTGAGGAGAGTACCTTTTTCCAGCACTAGACCCTTTTATTGAAAAAGAAGCATTAGTGCCTGAAATAAAGGCAGCAGAAACACCAACATGCAACTTCAAAACAAAGGATTTTAACAAAGGAAATCTTGTCATTTATGGAGAAAGGAGATAATATGGGAGGCAGAAATCAGGGCAAAGTGAAAAACATAATCAGGTGCAACTGAACACCTCTTTGATCTGTCTCGGTATCCATTTTAATGTACTGCCTTAACTTCCAAGTTCTTTAAAACCCCTTAATACCCAGATGTATTCAGCAGCCTGTGTATTGTTCACTGGAAACAAAACCTAAGAAAGCTCTCCCAGCATTGGGGTTTCACCAGTAGCAGAACAGATATGAATGTCTGCTCCTCTCAACAATCTTGGAGGAAACACCTAGGACCACTTCAGATAAATATGTATGTGGAAAAAGAAAAGGAAAATGAGAAGTAATTTGAAAATAAGTCAATTCAAGAACTATCCCCCTAGCAGTTCAAAAAAGAACATGAAGGATCAGGCCCACAAGCCCCAAGATGGTATTGCAAAGCAGTGTTTCTTAAAGAACAAGGTATAAAATAGGGGAAGAAAAGATCCATTTGCTGCATCATCAACTAGGTGTCCAGCTACAGACCTGGAAAAACACACTGGGGGAGCAGTGTCACAAATGTTTCATACGTACCGAGATGCCGGACATTCCACATGGGATCAATACTGGAATGTTGCTTGTAAAATACAATTAGCAGTGGAGGTGTCGTGATGCTGCCAGCCAGAGTCCTACTGTAAAGTTCCTCTCTGGAAGAGAGGATGAAAAGAAGTTGGGAAAGGATGCTTGTGGGGCCCTAAATCAGTTGATTTTCACTTGCAGCTGCATGACAGGAATCCACAGACACACAGACAGCCCTTCATTTAACAGTTAAATGCCATCACCATAACCCAATCCCTGACCCACTGTCGCCCCAGCTTGGGGGTACTTACACTACATTAAGCGCCATCCACTTCTCCAATTGCTTAGTGATGTTCTGTAATTTCCATTCTGTCAAATTGGCAACAAAAACTCCTGGATTGAAAGAGCAGGTGTTGGCTTTCATGGCAAGCTTTCGGATGGTTTCTTTTTTGTAATCTAGAAACCCAATGTAATTATACTGGGAGAAAAAAAAAAAAGTAGAAATTAGCTTAAAATATGGTCAAATTACTATTTAAAGAAAAATTTTGCACAACTCCCAACAGACAAGCATAACTTGAAGTTGTTAAAGAAAATACCCCTTCCTTTAACACAAGAGAAAGAAAGCTTAAGAGATCTAACATTTTAAAGATATGATTATATAAACTACATACTTTAAGGAACGCTGCATGGTCTTAATAATACCATATTATTCATATGGTACCACTCCCAGAAAAAGTACTTTTTATATCTCCCTCTGATGTTCTAAGACCTCCTGTGGTTCCACACTGGGAATCACTCTCATTGTAAAGCACAGCAAAAATTCAAAGTGCTTTTACTGTGCCTAAACAGAAACTGCAGGTGTCATTTGTAACACAAACATCAGAGTAAATTGATTTGGGTAGGGACAGTCACACCTTTAGGTTCACTGCATTTGGAAGTCAACCTGCAAGAACATTAAAAATGAGTGCCTGTTTCCAAAGCCTGGGATCTATAGTATTGTTACCACTGAATCAGAATAAAACTAACCTGATTGCCTGCTCCACGGACAGCAACTTTATTAGTGGTTGAGTCACAATCATCTGAAAATGCAGCTGCATGTCCAGGTTTCAATGGAGTGTTGTAAAGTTCAAGAATATCATCTGAGAAATGGAAGTAAGCACAGAACAATTAAAAGCAATCCTGATTAAGCGCTGAGTGACTTTTTGTTCAGTCCATTGCTACAGCAGATAAAACCACTCAGTTTAATCCAACTCATTCATATTTACAAAGTTTTTACATCTTTCCTTGACAGTAGAAGTTTTTGGTTACTGTAAGAGATGGCACACTAACCTCAGCATAAGGCCAGTGGCAAAAGGCTAAGAAAAGGTCCCATACCTTGCACTATTATGTCATCATCCACATAGATGGCCTTCTCCGCATGAGGTACCAAATTGGGCAAGTAGAATCTCGCAAAGGTTAACTGTGAAAACAAGAAAGCAAGGGAAGAGAAGAATTAAATGAAAAATTGTCCAAATAAACGTGAAATTGACTGATACTCCTGGCACTTATCTATGGCACTCATGTCCAAGACAACTTCTATCAAGGAAGTAAAATAGGCAGCAATATCCTAGAAGTTATTTGAAATAAACACGTTCCATCAATTCCTGACTTCCTATGAATTTGTGCATTGATAAACTAACTTTAAAACTGGTCTATATTAGAATTTCTTATTTCTCCACATGTATCTGTAGTGTCTCTGAGGTGTTGGCATGCTTGACACGCAAGCTGCTGTGTCTCACTGTAGCTAGCAGCAAAAAATTATACTAGGCATGCACAGTAGATATTCAAATCCATCTCTCACTATCTGGAAATTTATTCTTACTGAAATTTAGGAATTTGATTATAAAAGATTGCTCCTACGCCAATAGATTTGGTTTTGATCTCTAGTTGTGTTCAAAAGCCAGTATCAAAATATATCGTTACTAACTAATAATTGCAAAAAAGTAATCAACATCATCCTCACTGGTTTTAAGGTGTCTGCCTTTTGAGGATCCACTTGTACTTTCCCTTCTAAGACACGAGGGTCAAAATCCAAAATTCGGTATCTCAAATTTTTCAGAGCAGTGTTACTTAGCCACAGCCTGCAAACAGGAGAAAGGCGCAGATTTTGTTAAATGAGACAAAATCAAATGAAAAGCAAGAGCTCCAACTGACAGTGAAGCAGATCTTGATCTGGCCGCTCGCTTCCCTATCCAACAAACGTACACACAGAATGTAATCCATGGCTGATGTCAGTGGTGTCCTGTATGACTGCAGGGGCATACTGCACAGCTGTGACACATGAAAGGCATGAGGTTGCTTCTTAACTTTACTAGAAATATATGGTCCTGTTATCACAGGTCCTTCACAAAAAATATCAGTGTGAATGGATGTGGGTAAAAATAAAAGGATCAAAGAACAATCTAGAAAAATGGAGAAACTTCATTGCCAGCATTTGAATTGCTTAGATGAAATGGAGGAAGTAAGTGTTACAAGCCCTCCACCAACAAACTTCAACCCCACCGGCTGGATATAACCCCACTGGAAAAGATGGCTCTTTTCCATCCCTGAAACATTACCAGAGGAAGGACTGTAGGACTCCCCACAGCAGCCTTGTCAAAAAGCTGCAATAAGCAGCAGCAGATAGAACTGCAAACAATTTAGAGGAATGCAGTTCCAGGGAAAGTCAGCTCTTGCTCTTCCCAGAAATACTTAAGTTTTACAGTATCGTGGGAATCTAATTAAAAGATCATTACCTCAAGTGATCCACAGTATCATTCATAGTAACAATATGGAAAACCACATTGGATCTGGTGTGACGGTAAATACTGTTCATGGCTGCAATTGCACCCCCAAGCCTCTCATCTGATGCTGCAATAACCACAGAAATCTCCTTATCATTCCTTTCATCTGCCAGCCTCTGGGGAGCTGCGGGTATGAAATCTATAGGCTGAAGTCCTAATGGATTTGAATCTGTGGAGTACAAATGGCATCACATACTTGTTTTATGCAAATGAAACACAGACAGTATTACCACGGTACAATTCCTGACACCTTCAATTATTTCTGCTATGCAAGCACTTGGATGTCTCAGCTGAGGTGTGGATTACAGTGTGCCAGTATCAACCACTTAAAATATAGCACCTGCTCTTGAGAATTCGAGATGTTAATGAATAGGAAAACATCACACTTACAAATAAACCACGTACATTTAACTGTACATATTCACACACAGCAAACAAGGTACTAAAATGAGGCTTAAACTACAGTAGGCCATGCTTACCTTTAGTCCCCTCTGCCATGTCTGTAATCTCACTCACTTCCCCCTCCCATTTACCCTAACCACCTTCTAGTCTTCTCCACATCACCCTTCCCTCTTTTTCGTATACTTTCTTTTCCTCTTAGGTAGGAACCAATGAAGAAAACAGAAATTCTACGTTAAAGTCACTGTTGCGAATTTTTTCCCGCCAAAGATCAAGGCATTAAGTATAGCCCACGATTATTCCAGGGATCACAGATCACACCACATTATCTAAGCTGAAACCGCAAGAATTTATAATCATAGTGTGCAGATAGGAGATCAGCGTTGAAATTTATTACTAGACCACATCACCTGTAAAAGCTGGCAAATTGCCCACTACCCACACTTTTTATAACACCACCGGTACCTTTCAGGTGATCTAGGCTATTACATATTAGATAATTTTAGGTAGTTTGAGGAACTTAGCAAACAGAGACTTGGCAGTTTGTCGGCAATATTCTGCTGTTCACAAAACTGGGCTTCTGCTTCTCTTTGCCTTTCTCTGACGACAGAGCTTAACAGTTTTGACTTCAACTGATTCCTGGTTAAGGCCTGTCAGGCTCCTATTCAACTGCTGTTGGGAAGCACCAATACAACTGCTACCCAGGAGCAACAACCTCCCAGGAGCAGCAAACTGGGACTTGGCAGTTAACTGGGACATGGAGAGGCTCTGTGGGACCATGTGCAGTTCTTAAAAGCGTACTCCCAAAAATGAAAAGGCTTTGCTAAGTAAACTGAATCGTATCTTAATGACTCTTAAAGCCAGAAGGAACCCTTACTGCTATCTCGCCTGGCTTCCTGACCGAGAAAAGTCACAGGACAGCAAGAACAGACAAGCCCACCAAGCTGAAGTTCCTTGGGTATGAGAACAGGAAAAGATCTACTCATAAGAGAGTGCAAAAATTATACTTTGTTATGCAAAGGATTGATCATTATCATACACATTATTTCAGTAACATGGTGGTTTCTGTCCGGCCAGAGCATGTGCTTTCCCACCAATCTTAAAAAAAAAAAAAAAAAAAAAAGACAAAACAACCCAACATACCTGACAATTCCCGTTTCAAGAAGTCACTGAGGCCTGAAGTTACGAGAAAAAAAAAAAAAAAAAACAACCAAACCCCCCCCCCCAGCCACTATAAGGATGGAAATGTTCACTGAAAATTTAGAAAAAAAAAAGTTTATCAATATAACCAGAGAAAGATTGGGAAACTCAGAAAAGTACAAAAGAGATTTTTAAAAAATTAGACACACGCATATACACATACCTTTCCTTAATGTCATTTTTCTCTTGTTATTTTATTTATTAGCATAAGCTTCCTGCAAACCTGCAAGAGAAAAAATACGTCAGTCACTTCCTACTTCCAGTGCATGCCTACACAAGGCACAGCACACTATCACCAGGAGTGTCAAAACAGTTTCTGAATGTAGTGAGTGTTTCCTTCTCTTAAAAAGATAAAACTGTACGTCACATTTTAATAACCAAGTATGGTATCTCAGTCAGTATGTAGCTACAATGACATATCTAAAGAACTCAGAGATGAAAAGAGAGACGTAGAGAGCTTGCCACTTACTTCACTGACAGGAAAAAAACCCACCCACAAACTCCTTCTGCCAGTCAAAAGTGATCTGGAAAGAATCTGGAAGATTATGTATGATTTGGTGGGGGTTTTTTTACTGTTGAACCAATTTAATTTAACTATCTGAACTGGAAGCATCCCAGCAATAAGGCAAATGATTATACATTTCTTTCCATGCTTAACTAACTGCAAGATTTTGGCAGGACGCAGTGTTTATAAGATTTTAACAAACAGCATTATACACTTCCAAAACCATGAAATTGTCTACATAAAATATAACAGACTATCAGCTGAAGCGTCATCACACAAAAAAGATCACAAAAGCGTAAAAGAAGGTATTACCATCATGTTATAGAGGGGGAGAAAAACGCACACTCAAAGCAATGATGCAATCTCGGCATGCAATTCAAACACACATATTCATTATTTAATGGTACCAGTGATTGTGAAATCAGAACAAGAACTATGCATCCTGGAGTGTGAAGTAGCTCTCAAGTAACACACAGAAAGCACGCACACCATAACAACACGCAAGATTCAAGAAACGGAGACAGTTCTAGATTAAAACACTCGCAAAATTTCCAAATTAAGATACCGCAAACTGTGTTGTGACTATTACGTGTGTCAGGCATAACCATCTTCTTTCCGCGGCTGCGTTTCTCCCGTGGGGAAGATACACTTATCGAGCACAACAAATAAACGCCGCGCCTGCAGCGCCACTGGGCCGGTCGGGACACGCAGCCTCAGCTGGCAGGAGCGCAACGCAACGGCCCTCTTTATCGCGAAGCATGTTGCAACGCTCCTCCGTCCCTGGGGCAGCGATGCTGAGGGTGCACGCACACGTGACATATACAACTGCCCTTTAGTGACGCTACAGCAGCCTGTGCTGAAAGCGTCTACAGATTTGACTTTTCCAGAAATTACTGTCGGTGCAAACACAAACCCGCGCTAAAATACCCAAACGCCTGCTCGCCGCTACACTGCCGCAAGCTCAGGCGCGCCGGTGGCGCGGTTTACAGGCAGTAAGCCGGGCACACGGCTGTCCCCCTCCCCCTTCCACCGCACCCTCCACGAGCTGCACGGCCCAGCAGCACAAACCGCGCTCCCTCG